CCACAATGAACAAGAACGCTGGATCCACAAACACCCGCGAAAAGATCCAACGGCCACGATACCACCGAAACCGACGAAGCGAGCTCAGCAGTTGGGCCTAGCAGGCACTCTGCGACTCGGCAACCCTCTGCCCACGACCGGCTGGCGTGCTGAATGGAATATGCCCGCGCGACTCTTGTGAACCCTTCCCATATTATATTTTGATCGCTGGACCTTAATTTTATATTAAGAGGTCAATTTCTTCCTCTTGTTATCTCCTTGTTTCCCGAGGCAACGGTGACTCTCGCCGGTGAAAAAGCGGTGAATCTCCGACAGACGCAGGAAAGTTAAAGCAGCCATCGCTTTGACCAGCGGACGTAAAGCAGACGACGTTAACTGCGCCAACCCGCCGACGCCGTTAAAGAGTGAGGGTTCTCGCCGCACACGAAAGGAGGAAAAAAGTATTTGGGAAGGCACTTGCGGGCACTAACACGCTCACTCTCGGTTCTTAGCAAACAAACCTCGGCGATTCGGGACACCTCGCCGGTGAGTCCTTTGATTTCCTTCCTTGATGCGCGTCTGCTAGTTGTTAGACAAAAACAACGTACCGCTCGAGTTATTTCGTCTGCCGTCTTTGATAGGCAAAGTCGAGCTCGCTCGTAAAGACCTGTACTTCCCAAATGAGGATGGCTAGTTGGGCTAGTTGGTTTTGCATCATGGTGTAATACGCCAAAACAACAGGGACAGACAAAACGAAGGTAGAACTAGACAGGACGGTAGAACTAGACGTCCTGTCTAGTTCTACCTTCGTTTTGTCTGTCCCTGTTGTTTTGGCGTATTACACCATGATACTTCCCAAAGTCGCAGGAAAGGTAAGACAGACGCAGACGATCTTGCGAGCAGACGACGTTGCAAAGGAGCAGACGACACTGGGATAGGGGGGTCGCGATCAGCCAATCAGGACTCGGCGTTCTGATGTCACCGCTACTTTCTTTCTCATGCGCAGAAGACGAAAATGAGCCCACTTGCGAGGTGTATACACAACATATTCCCTTCCTTGAATTTGTTTGGGTGACAATTGGTTAGTAGGTTAATTGGTTAGTGGATTGTTAGCAATGACTTGCCTATCAAATATATACCCAAAATATGTACATATATACATTATACAATTATTACAAACAACATTATAGTATTTTTACATAACTGCATGTGACTTACAGCTCACAATCGCAACAGAAGACATAGTACAAAAAGAACCGGAAGGCAACATTAGGCATCATCTCGGAACCTAGCAGGTAAATGCCTGTCCCTGTAGGGTTGGACTCTAGCTCCGGCCCAGATTCTTCAGGCGGTGTAGTTTGCTGGCCCGACACAGGCTCTTCCTGTGGCGTAGTTTGCTGATACGGCACAGGCTCCTCGGGCGGGACAGGCTCCTTGGGCGGCACAGGCTCCTGGGACGGCACAGGCTCCTGGGACGGCACAGGCTCCTGGGACGGCACAGGCTCCTGGGACGGCACAGGCACCTCGGGCGGCACCGGTTCCTGGGACGGCACAGGCACCTCGGGCGGCATAGTTCGTACTTGCCCCTGAGATGCAGCACTGCGGGGCACCCAGGTGTCACTTGGCTGAATGCGGTCATGGTCAGCCGGAACTGCAGGCACCTTGCACAACTTGGAGGCGTTCCAAGTGCGTCCGTCGTCGAGAAGGAAGGACGACGGGCCACGCTGCTTGACGATCTTTTTTGGACGACTGAACACAGGATCACCCTTGAAGGAAACGGATGGCTTCTTAACCCTGACGTGATCTCCTACAGCAACTTTTGTGTTCTTTGCTGCTCTCCTTCTGTCGGTGTACTGTTTGCTGTACAGCTGGTGACGCTTCACGCGCTGTCTCAACTTTGACAGCTCTTTCGCTGGTTCCTCCTCGAGCAACAGTGATGGAAAACCGACGCCGTTCAGCCGTGTTCTTGGCAATCTCCCATGAAGGAGAACAGCAGGGGCAATCCCTGTAGTAGCATGCGGAGTGCACCTGTAGATTCCGAGGTACTCGGTAATAGCCAGTCGCAGCGGTCGACGTTCCAAAACAGCCAGCTGAATGAATGCCTAAAAGTGCGATTGAACCGTTCTATTTGGCCATTGGCCTGGGGATAGTACACTGATGAATGCGAGAGCCGAATGGACCGTTCTTGCAGAAAGTGGACAAACTCCCTGGACGTGAATTGTGGACCATTATCACATACTACCTCATCAGGCTAGCCTTCCCTGGAAAATACGTTGAGCAAGAACTCCATTACAATCCTTGATGTAACTTCCGAGCTCAAATGGACTTCCGGCCATTTGGAGTTGCAGTCGATCAAAGTAATCACGAACCGGCAGTTCTGAGGGGCTCTCTCCAGGGGACCAACTATGTCTATTGCAACCTTCTGCCATGGTCGTTCGGGGAACTCAACCGGTTGCATTGGAGCAGTTGATGTCTTGGCTGACTTGTCGGCTTCCTGGCAAGTACTGCAGTTCTTGATGGCCGTCTCAACTTGGTTGTCCATTCCCGGCCACCAGAATTGTTTGCGAAGCCTTGCCTTAGTGCGAATGATTCCTGGGTGGCTTTCATGCGCTGTAGCAATGAGCTGTGCCGACAGAGACGAGGGAACAACCAGCCTTTCTGCTCTTAGTAGGACCTCATCTACCCCTGACAGTTCTTCTCGAATTCTGAAAAACGGCAACAGATTTTCAGGAAGGCTTCTGTGCGGAGGCCAAGAATCGGGGACGTAGGACTTCACTTGAGTCAGGACAGCGTCACTCAGAACTGCTTGTTAAAATTGTTCCATGGTGACACACGTAGGCTCAACAAGGCAGACAGCTTCTTCCTCAAAAACCAGCTCGGGGTCCCTGGTCGGGGCGGGAAGACGAGACAGCGTCTGCTACACTGTTCTGCGCACCTTTCTGATACTCGACTGTAAAATTGTAGCAGAGCAGTCTTCCACACTAGCGTGCGACCCTAAGCGGACGTCGTCCCAAACCACGTGAAGACAGAAGCGAAACCAGGGCTTGGTGGTCTGTTCGCAGAGTAAATGGGCGTCCCCAGAGGAACACATGTCAGCGTTCACATGCCCAAATGCAGGTCAGTGCTCCTTTTTCGCCAACAGCATACTTCCTTTCAGCAGGTGAAAGGGTGCGCGAAGCAAAAGCGACGGTGCGAAGTGTCTGGCCCTGTCGCTGTTGGAGAACGGCTCCTAGTCCGCATTCAGATGCATCTGTCGAGACTACCATTGGAAGAGCAGGGTCAAACATACGAAGCACCAGGTCTGAAGAAAGCAGGAGCTTGACCTTGCAAAAGCTGGCATCAATTTGTGAGGTCCACACAAACGTTTGGTCCTTGCGAAGAAGAGCTCTCATTGGCTTCACGACTTCAACTAGGCGAGGAACGAACTTCAAATAATAGTCCACGAGACCTAGAAAGGAGCGGAGTTCTGCAGCCTTGGTTGGAACAGGCGTGTTCACGACTGAATCTACCTTTTCTGGGAGGGGTGAAATGCCTTGGGCAGTCACCTTGTGACCTAGAAATGTCAACTCTGTGACATTGAAAACGCATTTTTGATTCAGTTTAAGGCTTGCATCCCTGATGCGTTGCAGGACTTTGGCCAGGTTCTGCAAATGTGCCTCCGACGACTTGCCGAAGACAATAACGTCGTAAATATAAAAGAGGACGCCAGGACAGCCGTGAAGAATCTGTGACATCAGGCGTTGGAACGTTGCTGGCGCTGAGGCCAACCCAAAACAAACTCTTTTGAAGCGGAACAAGCCGTCGTGGGTGATGAAGGCTGTTAAGTCTCTGCTGTCCTTGTGCAGGAGGACCTGATGGTAGGCTGAAGCTAGGTCAAGTTTTGAAAAGTGGGTGGCTCCCACCAGTGCATGAAGCAACTCTTCCATGTGTGGCAGGGGAAACATGTCGGGAACGATGGCCTTGTTGGGTTCGCGAAGGTCCACACAAAGTCTAATACTCCCATCTTTCTTCTGAATGACAACAATGGGAGAAACCCACTCCGACGCTTCGATGCGTTCGATGATGTCAAGGCTTTCCAAGCGCTGAAGCTGAGCTGACACCCGAGGTCGCAAAAATAAAGGCAGGCGACGAAGCTTTGATGCTACGGGATGGACCGAAGAGCGCGTCTTGACTTTGTGAACAAAGCCTTTGGCGAGGCCTAAGTCTGGAGTGAAAAGAGGAGTGAAGTGAGCAAGGGCCGAAGGCAGTGGCGGAAGGCCGACAGCAATGGAGGTCTGTTCCTCAGGGACGGAGGAGGCTTGAAGGCACTGCATAGTGGAGCCTTCAATGCGCAAGTTCAGAGCCTTGATACCATCAATACCAATGAGTGAAGTTCCATGCTCTGCAACGAAGAAGAGAAGTTGCGCCTGACGTTCTTGAAAGGAGACTTCGGAGAAGAAGCAACCTCGAACTGAAATGGGCCTTTTCGAGAAGTCTAGCAGGGTGACACGCGGAACAGGCAGGAGAACTAGACCCGGAAAGTGTTCGTCGAATACTCGTTTCGACAAAATGGACACAGACGACCCAGTGTCAACTAGAAGTTGCAAGTTAACCTGCCCGACTTCAACATCGATATGAATTGCGCAGGTTGTAGGACGCTGAAGCACAAGGACCTGAACGGCATCATCCTCCGACGAATTGTCGACCACTACCTCGCGAACGGTCGACTGCGAGCGTTTCTGGTTGCATACCTTTTTGAAATGTTCAATGCGACCACAAAATAAACAGCGTTGTCCCTGTGCTGGACAACGAGTCCATGACGCGCGGTGCCGACGAGAGGCGCAACGGAAACAGTGCGGCGACTGTGCGCGTGGTGCTGAAGGCGAGCGACGGCGGTCGCGGCGGTCACGAGATAAGGGGCGGTTCCCTTGAGCAGCGCGTTGTGTGGTAGCGCTTCGGGGAATATGCTGCTGGTGACTTCCCGTAACGTGCTGTGAGCGTGAAGACTGTGAAGGGGGCTCGGAATACTTGCTAGTACGCGCCTACAATGGTTGTACAGACGCAGAAAATTCTTTCATTTGTTCAGCCGCTTGTTCTTGTTGAAGGGCTATCTGGACTGCGGTGGAAAACGGCAGCGACGAACCTTCCAGCAACAGGCGTTCACGAACGCGGTTAGACGACACGCCGGTCACGAATTGGTCTCGTAGTGCCTCTTCTTGTGACGCGAAGCAACACGGTGTTGCGAGCTCACGTAGCGCGGCAACAAAGTCATGAACAGACTCGCCTGGGGATTGGAAACGCCGGTGGAAGCGGTGTCGCTCGATGACCAGGGGTGCTATTCTGGTCACAAACGGTCACGTTCGTGTTTCTCGAAAACTCCTCCCCCCTACGAACCGCGCGCTCCTATTGGCCACAGCCCGCGTGATAATTCCACGCGGTTCCCATGGGAACGTTCCCGAAACACGAAAGCAACCGTTTGCCGTAACTGTCGCTCTTTGAGTTCGGACCGTGACGACGAAGTGACGTATGACCACGTCCGACCTACGTAGCACATACCGGAAGTCGCGTAACTAGATTAACTGCGGTATTACTCGACACACCCTACTCTCTGTTTCACTATGAGTGCGAGCTAGTGCGTGTGTAGGAGCTACAAGAACGTTCTCCGGGCTTTCAACGTCCCTGTCGAGCAGGCGCGCTTGCGCAGTGCAAGCCAACGTTCGTGCAAGCATCGTTTGGGGTGATGTCCTCGTGCTTTTAACTTCTGTTTCTGTTGCACGAAGGGGAACAAGCTTTGGGCAGAATTCTAGAGCGTAAAAAATGGCGGCGATGCTTGTCGCGCAACGATGGCTCGATTAACGCGTACAATGACGGGTTTTCCGCGAGCACCCGGTAGCCTTCGCGATGCACGACGACAGTTTCTGACGACAATACAGCGTGTCGAAAAGCACCGTGTGATCGCAGTGTGACCAGCTGCGCGACGAGAGACGGCGACGATGAGAGATGATGATCGTCGAGCAGTAGCTACTAATTGAATCGCACTGAGATTTTTCGCAGCGGGGAACTACAAGACCGTGGTTGCCACCGATGATCACATAGCTGATGCCCAGTGGATGGTGATCAGAGCCGTGACGGCCGTCGCGAGTGTCGCTGTCAACCGGCTGGGAAGAGACGGCTGGGTCGTCGAAACCCCGGACCGAGGCAGCTGAGGCATGTGCGAAAGAAGGCTTTTGTCGCCACCACGACAAGCACACCGACGTCGTGGGGTGCGTTGACGGAACCTAGAATCTAACAGAACCTTCGTCACCATCATCATCGGTCTGAAGGAGATCGTCACCGTTCTGGAGGACTCCAACACTTTTCCGCAAACGCCACTTTGTTATTAACAACATGGTGGTAAGTTGGCGTTAAAATTTAAGGGTTTCTACCGCTTCGAAGTTATTGCATGCTTAGTGCCTATGTCTTCAGTTGGCCATTTGTTGCGGTTTGTAGCTACTGTCAATCACGCAATAAAATCTTAAAGGGTTGCTGATGGCATTTTATTGTATCAACTAGATATTTTACCTTTTCATGCCGAGCTTCTGGAATTGCATGTCAGTCATCGGACAGTCATAAGAAACACTTTTCGATACCCTGCAATTAACTACAAACAGGTGTGTCCTAAAATGAATCGTTAGTTGTTTAGACAGCAGGAGTTCAGTCTGACGGAGTATGGTAACATTGTTACCCACTGTAGACGAGAAATTTAGCCAGTGCAATCTTGTTGACGGTCGTCATCTCCATGACCAAGAAAATTAATGAAGATACAATTGCCCTACATTCAGCACCCGTCTGTTTAATGTAAAGGTTATCATACAAATTAAATAGATTTCCGTTTCAAAAGTGACAGTAACTCATTGAAATTATAGAGTAGTGTGAGCTGGATTTTTTTTTAAATTTGCCTGTAATGCAGAGCAAATACGCACTGTTGAAGCAGAGCAGATGTGTGAAGGAAAAGCGAGCATATGTACTAAAGAAAGAACCGCTACGTAACGTGAAAAACGTCAGCAACTATCTTGCCATTGTGGTACGAGCTCAGTGGCTCTGCAGATGCTTATGGCAGCCTGTGATTGTAGGATGATCCCCTTATGGTATCATCCAGTGGCAAAGCCAAGGGGGGGGGGGCTTATCTTTGCCCCCCCCCCCCCCCCCCGCTCCCCAAATTCGGCGGGCCCTAGAATATACACACAAATTTCGACACCATCCCCCCCGCTCCCCAAGTCATGAACATCCCAGCCACCTCCAACCCCCTCCACCCTCACCCCCTTAAAAGTTCCTGGCTTCGCCACTACTATCAACAGCACTCAATGGATAGTCAACACTATCAAGATATGCGAAGTTTTCTTTATTTTATGCACCATATAGGCAGTGTTTCTGTCTTTATATGCGTGCAGGCAAAGCACACACTGTAAAAAACACTTGTGTGAAGCCTGCGTTCACAATGCAGTCCCCGTCAAACGTTCAAGGCGTTAACGAATTCCACAAATTAAATTTTCAACGAAACGCATTAGTTTTGCAAAACGCTGGCAAACTTACGTTGCGTTTTACATCATTCAGCTTTTTCGTCCAATGAACCAGCAGTCAGCACTACACAAATCTCAATGAGCTTGTCGTTTGTTTTCTTGCCGTTGGGGCGATCGCTGGCGGTCGTGGCGGCGGCACAATTCTTTCTCAGACCGTTGGCTGCTTCCTCCGTGCTCGCGGAAACGTGGTTTCCTTTGTGTAAAAGGGAGGTTTTGAATCTTGATGCATGACTGAATGAAGGTCTTTTACCGTCTTCATAATCTCAGCAAGGCTACCGTACGAGCCACAACACCACCACCACTTTCAAGCTTCATAACACCGGCACAAATAGAAGCCAAGTCTTGCATCTCGCCAAGTGTTATATCGGAGACGTTAAAAGCCAGCTCACTGTGCTCTTCGACCCGGTCCTGCCGCCGAATGGGATCATCCAACAGCACGAAAGCATTTGTGTGCGCGTTGATAGAGTGACCGATCGCATGTCAAACCCCAGCCGCGGTCGATCCGACGAGCATCGCGGCCATGTTCTTTCGAGTTGAACTCGCCAAGGGTACGGTTGTCGAGTTAAAACAATGCAAATAGTCCCGTGCATTCTTGTTCTTACGTCATTTTGTCGTCACAACCCGAACTCGAAAAATGACTGTTAGCGGCAAACAGAGGCTTTCTAGTTTCACGAACGTTTCCATGGCAAAGAGCGTTGAATCGTCACGAGCATTGAAGCCAATGGGATACCGAGGTACCTATGTAGGGACGTGTAAAAACGTAAAAGACGTTTTTTTTTTGCACGTGTTTTTTTGCAAATATAAAAATAAGTAAAAAAGACTGCCCGAGATTATGCGGTTGCGTCCATTTCTTCAGCGCCGAAAGAGAAGAGCATGGCTTATGGGGACTACTGTCGTAATCACTGTGGTGAGCAAAGCGAACAAAGCATTATTAAAACTACACGAACAAACTTTCCTGCATCATCCACAGCATGTTCACAACCGGTGAACTCTGCGTCGATCTCATGACTAGTCATATATTACCACAGAGTCGTCGTCAGCTCTGTATCCATTTGGAGTCTCCCTCACAGGCGAACAGGAAATTTCATTTGCAGCTTAAGCTCACGGCGGCTTCACAAAGGATGGTCGGTGTCGCAGCGTACCTTCACATAATATTTTCTTCTCGTAATGCCGTCCGTATCGTGCAGAAACAGGGAAAGCAACCACGCAAGCGAGACACAAACACCACAAGGTCGTTACCGCGGTTTTCGCCATGTTTGTTTTCAAAGACCGTAGCGAAAGACTTCGAGAAAACAAGCTGAGATATCTTAGCTAAATTTACTTTACGTCATAATTATTGAAATAATCTTTCGTATTTTATAAAAGGATAATATTAGTTTTCTCTGTTTCCTTCCATTTTCCGGAAGGCGGCCTTTTCTCCGTTATTCGCTCGTTCTAAGTCCCGGAGGAAAGGAAGAAGATAACAAAAAGAACAGGGGAAATGCAGGGATTTCTTCGCCCCAACGGGGTAGACACGTCACCGCGACGTAGGGCATCGTCAGATTCTAGCTGACCGCGTGCGTGAACCCGAACGTTGGGGCGGAGCCTCAAACAAGAATCATTCTAGTTTGGGGCTCCACCCCTTCTTTCTCGATACGTCACAACTCGAAAGGTACCCGTTTGCGACCAGAATGGCACCCCAGGTTGCTGGTTGTAGCGAAGTGTTGGGCTAAGGAAGCGACGGCGATGGCGTAGACGTCCGGCTTGCTCGTTGCGCCTTTGCCGGTGTCCTGGGCGGTGCTTGGAGGATTCGTGTCAGGTAGTGTGTTGAAAATTCGCTGGCCTTCGGCTCCCAGACAGTGCAGGAGAAGGGCCTTGCGTCGCTCCGGAGGAAATTCGGCAGCACCAGACGCAAGCAGGTAGACGTTGAACATGCCATGCCACTGCTGCCAGGGTACGGACGGGCGTCCCGGCGTCGGCAGGAACGGTTCCGGAGGGGCGAGACCAGCGAAGGCCATGGCGAGGCTCGTTAGGGAAGGCGCCGTTTACGAGCTACATATCGAAGGGAAGGCCATCCTCGTCGCCATGTAATGAAGAGCCAGCAGTCGACGGAATGCCAAACAGAACAGTGCGTTTATTCAGGACGCCATACTTTATATACACACACAAGGACACCATGTTGCCAACCGAGCATCTGAAACCGAAACTGGACAGTGTTCAATAACTCACACAATACAAAACACAGACCTAATTGAAGCTTTCTGTATACACAAAGCGGCTGACAGATGCGTAAGCAGGCCATCTCTTTATCTGTTAACCAAAGAAATTGTGTTTCTTCAAGGATGTGTGTAATGAGGGATAAGAATTTTTACCAGTTGCATGTGTTTAGGCGATTGGGATCGAGTTTGACGATGATTCGTGTTCCAATAAATCAGTTGGAAGTTGGCGCCTCTCCGCGGTCGTACGTGTGTCTCTTTTCGTCCTGTTTGTTCGCGCCTTTTAACCTTTTAACCATACCATCACTGTAGTACTGCCCGAGCCTCGTGGTTCTTCCTCTCCCTTTTCATCCCCCAGTAATTTCTTACCTCTTATCGCCCTATCTTAGTTAGGATATCGTTCAGGGTGCAATTTTAATGCCCAGAATAAACGTCGTTGCTAAATAATGAAAGAACGTGGTTGTCCTGTGCTTCTACTCCGTTTTTAATTCTTTTGATAATAAGTATTTATATTCTACTCGCTCGCTTTTACCAGAAAGTCAATCAGCATCCTGCGCTCCTTTGCTAGGGAGCAGGAGCTGTGTGCAGTCAACAGAATAGCCCAGCAGACAACGCTAGCACCAAAAAGAGCTTTGTGCGCGCGCGCCTTATCCCTGCCGTATCGCCGTACCACTCAGCGGCGCAGCGCAGGCCAGCCCAGCGGGTGATGCTCACGTGATAATATTAAGAACTTGGACCACTGTACGCAGACGCTATATGCTTTGCCGAATACTTTACAAATATCAACGTCACTGTTCGTCACGCTAGATCTTGCCGCCATCGCAGTGTAGCCCAGAGAAAGTCACCAACTTGTGAGAGTATGAAACCCACGGTGGGAAACGTTGATACCGTTATATTTGACGGAGTCTCAAACTCGTTCCATGCAGTGGCGCGTGTCCGGTTACATTGCAACAACTTTTCCTGCCTCTCGTTTGTGGTTTGAATTATTGTTTCCGCTAGAAACATTTGTTCCCAAGCCAGAATTCCATTCCAGTTGAATTCTGTCCCAGAACAGTTTTATAGCAGAATTCAGTTCAAAACTATCATCAAGAGACGGCGATGTATATTTGATCAACTCTGGATGATAAATTGGAACTGTATTTATGATAAAATAATTTATAAATTCGTTTCTTTTTTTTATTTAAAGAGCATTTTCTTAAGTGTTCTTTAAACTTTCACGTGAGTTTCTTGATTTTATCAAATACATTCTTGTCGCTGCAGGCCTCGATCTGCATATTAATCTCATCATCTTAAAACAAACAAACAAACAAAAAATAAACGACAAGCAAACAAGGTCAACGTTTTTGCAGTCCTTTGCAGAAAACGAAATATTAATTATTGTTTATCATAGGGCTAAATAATATTTTGCATAGTGAGCTTGTTGCGATTGCCTATCGCATTTAGTTTAGAAGTAACATAACAGACCATAAGAAATGCACCCTTTAGATATAAAGTAAATATACGGTTAAATTCATTTGTTTCAGGGTCGACTAGAACTTCCCAGGACTGAAAAGAAAACGTCAGCCCGTCTTTGTGTACAAATAGGATTATAATCAAGGTCCAGAAATTAAACTCCTTGGATATATGAGCAGCCTCAGTGGACCGCCGACCGGAGAAGAGGAAAATCCACATAAGGCGCATCGAGTGTCGCTTCGGCTCGGAAGTCGGACTATTAGAGCCTACTCATCTAAGTATCGAATGGATGGAGAGTAGTTTTTATCTACTTACCTTAAAAGCTTGATTTTGAAGCGCGGCCCATTCCATTCGCACCTTCGAGTGTCGGGATCCAGAGAGAAAGGTTGACCTAAATATAGGATTCTTTGTATCAGACAGAATACATTTCTTGATCGGACGTTCTATAGACACTTCATTTAGAAGTGGCGGCAAGAGGCGCTGTTGGCAATTTACGTCCCCTCAAACTCCCGGTCACAAAAACCGAAAAAAATCGTCCCCCCCCCCCCCCCCCCCCCCCCCCCCCGAGCATCGCTTCTCGTAACGCTCACAAAATATTTTAAGACCAGTCTGCAGGGGCAGTTAGCTAAAGAACCGGTTAGCGAAACACCTATTGGGGATTCCTCTATTTCCTATGAAACGACCGATCCCATCTTAAATACCAAACATCAAGGCAGAAGACCCTCGTTAAATTCCCAACTTCGTGAATTCTGTAGAACTTCATCGTCCCGTGAAAATTGGCGTCGCCGAGCCTCCGAACGCCTGCCGAAATGGAGCGAGCAGAAGTCTCCCGGCTAGCCAAAGACGGCTTGGGTCTGTAAACGGTAAAAGGGTTCACACTCCGTTTGACAATAAGCTCGACCGCAGACGCCACGCTGCAATCCTATGGAGCGAATTGAGCAGCGGCATCAATGGATCGTCACGGCGCTCGCCTTTTTTGTGTCCTTGCCTATAGCAATCAAGTACAGTAAATCTGCGTGAACTCGCATTTATTTTGAGCGTGATTTGACTGGCCTGCGATAGAAAACACGCGAAAACGACGAGCGTACGGGTGCTAAAGTAACCGCTTGTAAAACAGGCAAGAAGCAAGCGTTGAGAAATCGCGGATGCTTAGAGACGAAAAAACCGTTCGAAAGCGTTATTGCACCGGTATCCTGTGCCTACTGTACGGTTGGTAGATTTAGAGGTCAACCGTGCTTCCGACGTGCTCCCAGGCCTTTCTAAAATTCATTGAATTAGCGGATTTCGATGACAATCAGTAAGTTTCTAATTAAAACTGTATATTTATTTTAGTAACTAAAAATCAATTAGCATATTTCAGTTAAAAAACCGACGCACCGTGACGACTACACTCGTATATTATGCTACCCTTGTCGTATACCTCACCTGAACAGACCGCATTAGTTTAGGCTTTTGAGGCTTAAAAAAAGTGTAACCTCCTCATAAAAAAAGTGTAACCTCATAAAAAAAAAAAACAAAAAAAAACCTCTATAAGTTTCAGTTACACGACGGTGCTACTTACATAGGGACCTTTTTGCGAAAACACCTATTTATAGTAGGGTTCTACTGACCGGAAATTACGCTAGATCGAGCCTAATATGCTTGGTTGTGATGAGATGACTGTCTATTCAGTCTGGTGGTGTAGAGGCGCATCCAGGTTTAGTTACAATAATTTTGAGCAAAACCCCAACACTCCAAACAGCCTGTTTGACCCCACCAAAGCAGTTAAAACCAAGCATCCGCAGCGTGCACTCGGAGGCAAGGAGAGAGCGGTGGCGAAGGCCAGCATAAAGAGTAAAAACCCTATCAATTGAATGGAGGGGTGACCGGGACCGGAAACAGGCGGTGTTGGAGAGGTGTCGGGGTGGCCATTCGTCTCCTCCTCTTGGTGCGAACCGAACGAGGTTGGTCTCATTGCTCTCGCGGAGAAGTGCAGCTTCTTGTCCTCAAGGTTCACGAGGCTCTTTTTTTCTACTTTTTGCTAGCAGCGGATTTGGAAAGGCCTCGGAGGAAGTAGGCGTAGTCCTTGGGCCTGCATTGCTTTACCTATTTTGTAGACGTGGAATTGTTTTTCTGGAGTGGTCTGCTTCTTCCCAGAGTCTGAATTCTTTCCGCGTGTTTCGGATAGTTGTATTTGTTTGGAAGTTTCGTCAAGATTACCGTCGCATGAACACCGCGAACATTGGTTAAATGCACCACGAGATTTCAGGAGCGATATTAATGTGCGCTCTAGCAGTTTAGATTTCTTTCTTATATTTGCTTTTCGTTCCTCTTGTAATACAAAAAAAAAATAGAAAAAAAATCTATTAAGTAAAGGCAGGAAGAGGTGTGGTATTTCGGTAGCAATCTGTTCACTATGTGAACACCGTCAATGATCGGAAACTCCTCAGTGCTCTACTGTTCAGTGCTTGGAATCACTAGTAATAGCTATAGTAAAGTGATGGATATACGGGAAAGGTTACGGTAGATATCAAAATAGATTTTTGTTTTTGCTTTTTGGGATTACCGAGCTCGAAACTTTCTGGCTTTCTCACTTTGCTGAAGCAACGACTTTACACATCGCCCAGGTGTTAAGGGGGTATAATTTTTTTCTATACGTAAAAAACTATTTTTTTTTGCAGAAGCTTTTTGTTTGTTTGTTTGTTTTTTCTTAGGGGGACGGGGATTACCTATCTTCATGTTTTGGTTATGAGCCTTCCTCGTTGATCAGCTTATAAAAATGCACTTTATGGGAGAAAGCAAATATAAAGCGTGTTTAGAAAGTTTAACGTTACATTTTCGTTAAATTTGTTTCGTTTTTGTATAGGCTTGATCCCCTTCGGCGATTTATACGCCCTTAAAACGAAAACTTGTCTAGATAATTCCCGCGACGACAATAATACATGCAGAACTAACAATGCTTGTAATTTTGCTTTATCGTGCCCTGTATTTCTTGTTTTCTAAAATTGAAGCGTGATGTCTTCAGCAAGAGTGAGTGCCCATCTTTCGCACCGAGAAGCTTAGCAGTCGTTGTTTTATGAAGATTATCTAAAGCGCCAAGAGCTAAAATGTAGAGATACTCGTATCTCTTTCGCTGATGCGAGCAAACTCGGCACTCAGAATACTTTCATCATAAAAACTGTGAGACAAGAAAATTCTTTTTTTTTTCTTCTGTCAATGGAGATGCAGTACGTTAAATTCTGAACAGCGCGCTTCGCCTGGCAAGACTTCCTCTCCATGCAGAGTGGAGGTTCTACTTCTTGCATGGCGGTTGCGATGATGTCGGAACGCCAAGCTCTCATTGGCTGATTGAAAAAAAAAAATAGTGGGTA